AGCGGTTGCTCGAGCGAGGAAAATTTCACGCGTGCATCCGAATGAGCTTACATCATCGCAATTAAAATGCAGGCAGAAATGGCGCGAGCATGCACGCCACGGCCGAGCGCGTATTTCTGTAATACATCGGCTGGCCACGAACGCTAAAATAATGTAAGATGGATTTGACTTTCGTCCAATATCCATCGGTGCCATATGCCTGCTCACGTTCACGCGCTCGCGCGTTCCGAATAAAGAACACGGTCCGCGGCTGCATTCGTGCACACGCACGCATACGCGAGGGCGACGTGCCCGCGCGCACACGCGCGTGCGCATACGCTCGCAGCGCCAGTTCGCGATCCCATGCGTCCCGCGATTTCGCGCGAGTTGCGTAGCGTTTCCCAATTGGTCAAACGATTCGCGGTCCGTTTCGTCCTAACCTCGTACGATCTGTGTAATTGCCCGTACGATCGGGTTCGCGATTATTCGCTAGTAATAACGCCTTTATTACTAGCGAATAACAAAGCGCGATTACGTGCTTTATTCGCGCGACAATTACGCGACGGGTGTGTCGCACGCGCTCCCGTGAACGCTGATTACTTTGGACTCGCGGTGATACCAACTGTGCCGCTAATCGCGCTCGTCTTCTTTCCTTCCAACATGTTCGATCGTGTCTTCGCTGTCCGATCGTTACTCGAAATGTAACGCTGCCGTTGATCTCGTAAAACGTTATCGGTTTCGCGAAGATAAAGATAAAAAATCGTACACTGTTCTCTATCTCGACAACCTTGCGGGATAAACACTGGTAAAATCCACACGCTCGTTTGACTCGGGATTAAAAGAAATAGCGGGTTCGCCGAGAACGAACCGGGAAATTTCCAGCAAACGCGACACGTTCGATGCACGCGAGTTGGGAGACGCTGATGCAACTCGGTTGGCAGCTGCATCGAAATTACGCGTTCCGATATTCACCGCGAACATTGGCACGCATCGAACCGCAACGCGAGGGACGACAAGAGGAAAAGACCGATAGAGAGGATTGAAGGAAGAGAAGGACGAGGTCGTGGTGAGAGATGGCGTTGAATATCGGAACGCACCCTCGCTCGAGGAAAAGATTCGATTGCACGGGCGTCGGCACGTCTCCGTCGTGTCGTATGCCGAGCATACTTGCGAGAATGTGCCCGTTTCCCGACTGCCATCTTGCTTTTGCGTGATGTCACGGCGTGGCCTACTTCCGAGCACTCCACGTGCAAGGGTCGTCGACCCTGTTCTCCTCTAGCCCCCTTTTGCCTAGCCGCTACTGCCTCGAACCACGGGTACGAAATGCTCTAGGCCCTCCCTTGTCGAGCCAACCAACAGCCAGGATTCCGGCGTACCCGGCTCTCTATTCGCCTCCTCCGATCCGTACCTTTTCCTTTTCCTCTTCCTCTTCCTCTTCCTCTTCCTCTTCCCCTTCCCCTTCCCCTTTCCCCTTCTCTAAACCCTTACCCTTACCCTTCACCTCCCACTCTTCCTTCCAACGCCTTCCCTTCCCTTCTCTTCCCTTCCCGTCCCTTCCCGTCCCTTCCCTTCCCTTCCCTTCCCTTCCGCGCCGTCTTCCTTTTCCTACGCCTGCCCTCCTTTCGACTTTCGTTCTCCGTTCAAATTCAGTCTAGCTTTCCCATCTTGCTATCGGTCGATATTACGTTCGAGAATCCAGGGTGTAAAAGAGAAATGAGTATCAACATCCAGTCGATCGCCGTTTGTCGTTGCAACGGAAACAAGCTCTGCTTTCGTTTCGCGAAATTATCGCTGCTTCGTTTCCTCGTTACCTCATTCTGCGTGGCGCTATTGTACGCGCGACTCTAATTGGGACACGTGGAGGCAGCGCCATCTTCGTTCTAGAAGGATACGTCTAACCTCGCTGTTACGTGTCCACGGTATCGCTGTCGCGATATTCCACGCGAACTGGCAAACTCGACGTCGCGATTGACGCGTTTGGTTTTCAGAGAAGGGCGTCGTCGCGTTTCACCACGAAGTGGATGTACGTAGTACGTATATGTACGCGAGGAAAGCGAGGGGATACGGAATTGGAGAAGCCAGGCGATTCACGTAAGTTTGTCTCACGGAAAATTTTCCTCGTTCGGTAGAGTCGCTCCCATGTGGGTGGATAGGGGCAGGGGCACCATTGTCCGCACGCACCTGCCAGTCTTCGCGTCTACTAGAACTCCTTGCATAACAAAAGCAGCGGCTAAGACGGCGCATAGCAGTCCAGCCGTGGCCATTGTTCCTTCCATGGATCGCCGTTTCTCGCTCCTTTGAACTTGGAAAATGATCTCGTTAGTCCCTTCGATTCTCTACGGACGTTCATTAATTGGAATTACGTAACGAGTACCATTAAACCAAATCAACCAAGATCTGCCATTTTTACCACCGCAAATTTATCGATATTCTCGACCGATTCGCATATAACTTTTAGACCTGCCGTGCTACCTTTTTATAGCCACGCGACAAGGGTTAAATTATATTTACCGTGAAACTAAATTTAGTAGGCTAAAAATTACCCGTGCATCGTCGTTCTTTTATATAAGCACGTCAAAGCGACGCACGCTTTACGGGAACGGACGGGAAGAACGACAGAAACGCCGCGAGACTTACGAAGACGTATCCTGTTGGCGTGCCACAAACGCTCGGGTCAACGTAGTTGGGAAACTCCGAACGTAACGCGGTGCCGTACCTTCGCGCCGCGTGTATGCACGCGCTCCGTTCACGCGTGTGCGTGCACTGGCACACCTCTGCGCTTCCGAGTACGACCACGGACACTCGTACGCTTTACG